TTTTATTTAAATAATAAACATTATTGATGTATGCAAGAATGGATACAAAAAAACCTGCAGTGCAAATGAGCGAGAGTAAAGTTAAAATATGTTCTATAAATATTTTCTTTAAGATCATAAAAGAATAACATAACGTATTACACTAGTAAAACATACATCCCGTATTCCTGTATGCTGCAGTATTCAAATGTTTATTATACTAAAACATTTGCATATAAAAACCATTAAAAGTTAAATAGGTCGTTACACCTATGATATTATGTTAATGAGTAATGACCATTTCGTGATCAGAAAATTAGATGTACCAGTTTTAAACCAATTAAATTAATCTGAACAATGGTCACTGAAATTATTTTAATTGTATAATAACAAGATACAATTTTACACCATTTACAATGTAACTATAAAATTTTCAATTAATTTTTATAATTATATAGTAACAGAAAATTAAAAAAATGTGTTTGTTTATTTATTTATTTTTCGAAAGGGGAAGGAGTTAAAATTAAATGTCATTGATTAAATTGGATTACAAGTGTCCATTTACAATGTTGACTATGCGCAATCATAGAGTTTTAAAAAAATTCTGTTTATTAACATTTAATTTAAATTGAATTCTCGATATGAATATTACAATCTACGTTGTTTGATTTTCATTATGTGTACCCCGCTACCATGAATATTAATCATTTTATACCTACTAAAAAGTAGATAAAAAGGGTACTTTAAAATACGAATCAAAAGTAAGTTACTTAGACAAGTTTTTTTTTTAAAACTGGTCAAATAAAAAAAATTTTTATTTTAATTCACTTTTTTATTTCCAAACGAGATCTAACAAGCTTAAATTATTGTAATTTACGTATTATATATATAAAACTTAAAATAATCTTATTATAATTAAGTATGCGATAACATTTTAAGGAAAGACGAGTTTGTACGTTAAATCAGTTTTTGACGAAATTGATTTATATAATTTTATATATAAAATATTAATATTATTTTATTATAATTCAAAATCGAATGATTGTAAAAACTTGAAACTTTCATGAAGTGTTAACGATATATTTTTTTTTAACTGTTATAATCTTCAAAATATTTTGACTATTCATAGATAAATTATTTTCTCCCTATAAATATTCATAAAAAATATTCACTTTTTTAAAAAACTTTAAAATTTAGTACAAAGTTTCAATACAAGATTTTTTTATAGCTGTATAAAAATAATATCTAAAATAAAAACGCACAATTTTCTTTCATAATTAATAGTTCAAATTTTTACAAAATTCATTAAAATCACGAAAATATACAAATTATAAGTATTTTGTAGTAAACAATTTATAAAATCTTGGTTTTTAAGTTAATTTTATGTGATATAATTATCTATAAATATTTTATACGTATTGCATAATATAATATAAAATAGCTAAAGTAAATTTTGTTATGTATTACAAATACATGTTTTTGTTTAGTAATTAAATTGGTTTTTATTTGATTATTTTATTTATTAATTCTAAAACACTATTTTAAAATTTATAATATATAGTGTATATAATTCATAACTATATAATATAACTGTTTTTTATATATATAAAATAATGTTAATATTTCTTTAATTTAATACGAAATTGAAAAGGTATATCAGGCATAAAATAAATACATAAAATACAATTTCACACACATATATATGTATATATAAATGTCATTTTTCATGTTGTTGGATTGGTTATTCAAATGTAAAAAGTTATTGTAGTTATTGTAGAAAATTAATACGACGAAGATAATATAAATTTTCTTGTATAAAAATAATATGAATTTAAAAATTAGAAATTATTTGTTATTTATAAATCCATAAATTCAAATGGAAATATTACCTTCTTGAGGCAAAATAGGTCTTAAAAATTCTAAAAACTTATTCTATGAACTTCAATAGTAAAGGACATTAATATTATTTGCACGTTTTTAAGTTATTTTTTCAATGCACCAATGTCCCTAAATTGCCTATACATAGTGCCGTCTGTCTCGAATAAGTATAAAAATGTTGTTTATGCACATCAATTGAACATAATATATTAAAGCAAATAGTAATATAGTTAATATGTACTATAAACTTTTAACCACATTGATGGATCCGTTGAATGATTAGGACAAATCGACGATTAAATTAGTAGGAGAAGTGTTTTCAAGTTTTCGAGTCAATATAATATTATTACTACGGGTGATTAAGTTATCGAGCAGTGGTATATTATATTGACTAGCATTTCTTACTTATATTTGTTTAGGGTAATAAATATTAGTATAGAACTATGATAAATATTATGGACAATTGGACAAATCGTACATTGTTTGTATTTCAATTACATGTACACTCAATATTACCTCATCAACTATCGCCACGCAAAATTATTTCTTTTACGAAATGAGTAAAGCCTATTAAAATAGTTATAGTTATTACATATTTAATGATCAATAAATCAGTTTCTATTTTTACGATACTGTTATAAACTATAGGTTAATTATGAATTTAAGGTATAGTTCAAATACATTATAACAATCATACATAACACGTTAGTCGTTAGTTATGTTGGTATAATGCATTCTTGTATAATGAAGAACTATATAAGAGTATATGCAGTGTTTCAACAATTAAATTAAAAAGGGAGATCGATGTTTAAAAAATTAAAAATTGTATCAAATGGAAATATATAATTACTTATTAAAGTATAAGTATATTAGACTAAAAATAAGTATCACGGTATAAATAAGTATTAGATAAATAAAAATAAAAACAACTATTATATTTAAAATTTATCGAGGTCGACTAAATCAGTTTCATAGTCCCGGTTATGTTCAATTTTTCCAGTGTTACCCATGAAAATTCAATAGTACCATATAATGCCTAGGAAAGGAATATATTGACTGATAATCCATTTTTCCAGTAATATATTTTCATTAATAATTTGGTATTGTAATGGTAGTATAAAAGAATAAATACAAATCATTACTAAGTCATATTTTGGAGAACTACGGTATAGTTATAGAGCCGTTGCATTACAATTATGTAAATTATCATTATTTCTGGAAAAAAACAAAACGGATTTTCCATCCGCGAAGATAGGGTACGGGACTTGTGCCGCGAGGAATGATCATGATGATGTTTACAAACGTAATAACTATTTATATATTATTATAGTATAGGTACACAGGGAGTGTTACAACTAGCACGCTGGCCACAATTATTGTTTTCCTCCAATAACGAATTTATTCAAAGTCTGATGATAAAAATATTCTCGAATGCTTGAGATTTTTTTATACGACTAAAAACGACTGCATAGTCGAAGAAAAAAGGGAGGTCGAGCTTAGTGAAACACACCGTAATAATAATGTATATCATATTCTACGCCATTGACTGTCGTGTGTTGACGGCGGTGGCAGCGTCCTGTGCCGCCAAGACTGCACGCCGCCGCCGACGATAAATAAATTACCGTCGTTGTACGCACAGATCACGGTGCGGTCGCGTCCGCGTCCCGCCACGTAATTTCGGCCGGGCGCGGGTCATTGCGGACTGGGATACGCACGCCGTAGTGGGTATACGTAGTATAGCGCGACGGCGGTGGCTACACAACACGGGCCTTGTTGTTCCACGGCCGCCTCGAAAAGTGGGACATCGATTTTCTTCGCCGCTTCGGGATACGGTCGCACTCACACATCCACTCGTCCACCCGTACACGCACACACGCGTGTACGGGCCGCCCGGTACCGGCCGTGTATAAAATGTGATTGGTCGCGGTTGCCGCCCGCCGCCGCCGCCGCGGGATGAAGTGCGCGTGCAGTGGGACGGAGACGCTCTCACGGAAACGGGTCGAAAAGAATATAATATATGTTTAGTACAGCGGAGGAACGCCGGTGAGATGACGATGTCTGTGAGTGGGGTTGGAGAGGTCCGCTGAGGCGATGTGTACAAATGGTATTTTCCTTTTTTTTCTTCCCTCGCCATCTCGTTTGTTTTTGTACACATACATACGATACGTATACAAAAACACACTCACACATATATGAATATATGCACATCCGTGTGACAGGCCGAGCGTACATTTTTATTGATGAAGAGAGATAGTCGGAGAGAGAGAGAGAGAGTTAGATACAAAATATCAACACAAGTTGAATATGGGAAAATAAATACGAAAAATGTGCATTATTTAATAGGTATTACATATATATAAATAAATAAAACTTTGATAAAAATTAATGATGTGGGCGAGCGTGTTTGATATATCGATCGTCCATCGACATTTTCACGCGACCTTGAACTGGAAATACGTCGTTTTTCGTTCACGACCACGCACACATAACATGCATATTATAAAATGCCGAGTCGTATCATCATCATACAAGACACGACGGCACAAATAACATCGAATAATAATTATGTATAATTTCGTGTTTGACGGTTATATATAATGCATGCGAATAGTGGTGTGTCTGTGTAAATTATGTAAATATTATGTACGCAGACTGAAGGGGTTTTTAATTCGATACGGTCGTTACTATACATACATATGTGTTTGCGTAACTAGTAAATTGATTTGGCGGAGGCGACGTGGTCGTGGTCGTCGTCACCCGGGACTGCGCTTGCGCGCGGCCGGCAACCCAGATTTTTCGGCGCGGTCGGCAGGGCTCGAGACTCTCGACGTTCCTTCCACTCGCGCGCCGTCCCTTCTCCGCCATCTGACTGTTTCACTGCCGCTGCCGCTGCGGGACGGGCGGCAAGAACAGCAACAGCAGCAACGAGAGCGGCGGATGGAGGAGAGGGCAGCGCAGCGTCAACAGCAACGGCAGCGGCGGCGGCGGCGGCACTGGTATACGACGAGAGCGAGAAGAGGACGACGGTAACCGGGTGATCGGTAGTGGGTCGCGGAAGAGGTTGCAGTGGCGGTGTACCGTTGTCGACGGGGTGGGCGTGTGCGGTGGAAGAGGCGCGACGATGGTGGCGTCAGCGTCGGCGTCGTCGTTGGCCGCGGCGGCGGCGGCGGCAGTGGCGCTGGCAGTGATAACCGCGGCGGCCGACAGACTACGATGCGCCCGGCTCCCGGCCGCAGGCAACAAGTGCCACGTCAAGTCCGACCCTGAATCCAGGTATGATAGTAATAGTACTGTAATATTGTAATATAATAATATTATTGATAATAATAATAATAGATAATTTTACAATGATAACACTGCACCGTTCGATTTCATTGACACGAAAACCTCGACTAGACGCCATAACGCGTGTTAGCATTTGTGTAACACACGTGCGTTTATAGTAAATAAAAATATGTATACATCGCACATCAGTTCGGCTGAGCGTGTAATTATAGTGTATTAGGTAATCATAATATCATGTAATATAATACACTGATGTGTAATAATAATATTAAATTTATTGAATGAATTAATGCACGGTCGGTTTAAAGGGGTTACACGAAGTGTATATTCGTCAGTGAGGTTGTAATACTTGATTTAACTAATACCTCTAAATTATATATTTAATTAAATAATATAATATTATCAGGCGAGTTCTATGACCGTTTTATTGAAATCACTGTAATCTTATTGTTATGACATTAATGAATACACGTAATAATAAATTGGAATTGATTGTTAATTAAAATATGTTTAATTGTCGTATAATATGAGTATGTTTCATTTTTTTCAAACATTTATTCAATACGAAATATAATAATAGATTTCAAAGTATTTTTTAATATAGTACAATAAATTTAATGTTGCAGTGCTAGAAAATTAATTTGTTGCGACAGTCTTAAATTGGTTCTTATGCGCAACACGCTTTATATTTTCTCGAATTTAGAAACTAATTTCATAAAATTGTGTTGTCATTAATTAAGTATTGTAAAATAGCAGTGAATTGAAACGATTGTATGTAAGAATATATGTTTAAAATGTAAAAATTAGGAATGTTTAAAGCGATTTTCTATATTTAATATTTAGAATTGTTGTAAGTCCAAATTTTCATTTTTATGTATTTACTTAAATGTTAAAATAAATAGTTATATTTGTAACAAAATAGTTCTAAAATAATATGGTAGTAGGATACAATACAATTTGTGATACTAGTATGAAAACTAAGAAAAAGTAACTAAAACAGTAATTTTAATATTTGTTAAAATTAAAAGTAATTAAATATTTTATTATTAAATCAAATTGAAACTGGAAATTTAATAGAGAAACAACATAATTATAGCAATTATAATTTATATTATTAGTGTTTATAGTATAATTTAATTATAACGTGTTCAAGTATCTACAATGACGTACCCAGAATTTTAGTACTGTTGTTCAGCCTAACTCACGAAAAGCCACTTTTGTAGCATTAATCCACTAGAAATGTACAAGAAAGTCACTTTCGAAAAGAAAATTACTTCATTTGTATAATATTTCGATATTAAGTCAAATCTAACGAAATATGTTTTACTAAGATGAATTATTTCATTAATAATTAGCAAGATATTCGAGTCTCGGGTACCTACATTATTAATATAAATGAATGTAGGAAAATATAAATCTCTTAAGAAGATATCGTACCCGTTGTCTCATCTTTGTTTTAGCAAATTTAACGTTCAGAATAAACTCTTTTACTCTGTTATTTTTAATACTAGAGCAAATTGACATATTGTCAAATATTAACGTAAGAGTTATTATCTAGATCCCCACAAAGTCTCACTTTTAGATTATAATTTTATAATTTTGAAGCAGGTTATAAACATTTTAAAATTGTATAGTAAGTTTTATTGTTTCGTAATATTTACAAATATCTTTCTATAATAAGAAACAATATTATAAAGATTCGATAGTATTTATTATACATATTATTTGTTTATGTATAATAAATAATCTTTAATAGTGCTAAATATTAATAGAGGCAATTTAACAATGAGAAAAATCTTTGGGTAAGCTAACCCATTTGAATCCTTCTCTTAGTATCTAAGTATAATTGTATGATTGATATAGATCATAATTTTACATTTTAAAAATTTTAATTTAAATAAGTTGATTCATTCTTAGTTTTTATTTCATACTGAACAAACGTATTTATTGTGGTACTTATAACAAAAGGCTATTTTTTAAAACACATAAATATTTAGAAAATTCCGTCTATATTTTTGTTGTTTTCATTTTTTTTTTTTTTTTTTTTTTTTTTTAATTGTTATGATGAAATATAACAGTTCAACTGTTATTTACGTGATATTTTGATATTATTTTTTTAATACTTAATTCTCGCATGTTTTTCAAATTAAAAGTTAAATGGTAGTTTTTAAATAATCTGCTTGTTTATTGAAACAGCCACGTAATTAAACGATTCTTGGCTTCACGTTTTACATGGTTTTTTTTCTTTAAGTATAATTACTTAACTATTACGAGGTACAATATAGAGAGAAACTGAAATTTTAAATCAACGGTTAACACGTTTCTAGCATTTTTTTACTTTTTAATTTATGATGAACGTGATCATATTCTTAAGATTATCAAATTTCAAATCGCACGCACCTAAGCATTATTCCGACCTATGTGGTTAAACTACATCAATCCAACCACATCTCGGCTATTCATTTGATGTTTCTGAGGTTCTCAACAAAAACTTTCCACAACTTCTATGTTATCAATATAAAAATGTCAGTAAATTATAAATTATGATTGATTTAGATTAACAGGAATTTCGAATCTAAAATATTCAGCTTAATTAAATTAATAATAGGAAACCACGAGAGGACACAATAATATTATGTTGATTCTTTGCTTGTGTCGCTCACCGTGACACAACACGGTAATTAGGACTCAAGAGTAATAATCGCACTTAAGTATCTACTCTACATTTCCACCACACTTGCTGAAAATTCTTTGGCAGTTATTGGTAGTTTTTACTTACTTATTACGCACTTATTTCTACTGAAAGAAATGACTTCTTAGAAGTACTAACTGTAGACTCGATTACTAATTAAAAAGATAGAAGCTATTGAAACTTTTGGAGCAGTCTCTCTACACTAAATTACTGGCACGAAGAAAATAATATCATTGAAACATCAACTCGATCTATGTATTAGCCAAAAGTCTAAGACCTAAAATACGTGTTAAGAAATTCTTTGATATTGAACGGATTAAAATGAATGCGGTGATTATTTTTAACGTAAAACTCTATTAATCTTACATATTCCTTATAAGTTATAATATTGCAGATAATTCTCGATTTTATCCATATACCTATGTGTTAATCTGTTTTAAATTATATTTTACATATAAATATGTGTATAAAAATATTATTATAATAAAATATTCAATTTATTATTATTAAATTAATTCAATGCATTTTATCGGCTAAAAATTTGGTAATTTTAAACTTATATTGATTAACCAAGATATTTTACATACCACTTGCTCATTAGATAGCATTCGTTTAAATGTTCATTAAAATTACAAATATAGTTTGTTTAGATACATATATAGGTGAAATTAATTGACACACGACCAAACGTTCTCACTTCATTAATAGAAATTTAAATTTTCTCGATGTAAATTTAATTTATTTTTATGATATTTCTAAAATTTATTTTTGTTATTTTATGATTAATTTTTAATTTTTTGATAGAACAAAACTATAACGAACCAAAATTTTATCCATTTAATTAAAACGTGTTTTGTAATTTGTATTCATATAAGTCAAATAAATAATAACATAACTTTTCCACAATAGTGTATAGATTCACTAAAGAAATTTCAGGTTAAGTTTGAATATTAATTAAATTTAAACTACCCATAACTTTACATTTAAATTATAAAAAATACAAAAATATTGCAAAACGTTGAGAAATTTATAGAACTTTAGAGAAATTCTAGTAAGATTATCTTCATTAATTAAAACTACAATTAAACTATTTATAACTTATTTACTGATAGTGTTGTAAAGTATTTGAATAAAAGTATATTCAAATTTTTTATTTTTATTGAACACTTACAATTTTTTTTAATTTTCAAATATTTATTCGGAATTTGGAATTGTATTTTAAAATTAATATTTATTACAATAATAAATTGCAAGGATTAACTACACTGAAATTCGAATATTCGATGAAGGTGTATTTAGTATAATTATGTAAAACAATATGTTATTAAATTTATACCATGTATAGCCTAATCATACTGATAACTATTAATTTTTTATTTTCAAGCATCTTATAATAATTTTTATAATACCCATAACCATGTTAAATGAATTAATAACATAACCAATCTAACTATCATATAATAAATAATATTAAGCAATTAGCGTTTATGTGGTTAAAATATTCTTTTTATTCATAAAGTTTATACGGTCTACTTTAATGTATTTCTTGCAGTTTTTGAAATTTAAACTATAGTAGGTATACGTTTCATTTGTGAACATGTGTACTCTTTTCGTTTTTTTTTTTCTAACTGACGTATACAATCCATTATCTATATAATGTAATAATGTTAAGAAAACACTATATTTTCTATGGGCACGTGTATCCTTTTGGGTTTAATTGTCACCCTCCCTGTGGTCGGTGGGACTTACGAAAGTCAGCCAAAACGATTTACGGCTTTTGCGAATTTACGTGACTCCGCACAATTCGTGGTATGAATAATAGCATTTATAGTCTTTTTTTTATTCCCTAACATTTTGTTTTCTGTATACAAACATTATTTGTACATTTTTGGCAGAATAACCAATTATTTATGAATAATAAAACATGGTTATAATAATTAGTATTTGCTACGCACGTGTAAGACTAAACTTGATAATATATTATAAGACACATTTAAATGTGTTTAGGTGAACATTTATCATAGTTTAACAAAGTCCTTTGTTAAAATGACCGTAGATATGATTATTTAAGCCATTTATAAAATGGTTTTTAATTTCTTAAATTAAATTACTAAAATTAACATTTCGATTTACTACATTAATATAAAAATTACATAACCGTTTTAAATAAAATAAAATACTTATAACAAGCTTATTGAAAGATAATCTATTAAATATTAAATTTAATTAACGCATTTAAGTGATATAAAATCGAATTAAAACCAAAATTATATTGACAGAAAAATAAAAAATTTTATTTTCATTATTTTATTATTTATTATAATCGTAATTTCATTAAAATCAAAGAATGATGATATTTGGCGTCCGATATCATTTCATTAGTCAAACTTGATAAGTAATATTTTTATATTTGCATAAAATATTTATTACATATTTATGAGTTTATTACTCATAGTGTGTGTTTCAATGTTAATTTTTTGAAAACATTGAGACGAGTAACTACTAATTAGAATAATACTTATCAAGTAGGTACCATGTGTATTATTATTTATTGATTTTAGTTTATAATATACAACCAATAACCTATTTATACATTGATACTTATTTGTGAAAATTCTTGGTGCGTACATTTATATATCAGTTTTAAAATTTTAAATAACATTCAATAAACTTAAATTAAAGTTAATTAATCATTTCAGGCTATAGTATTTTGTTGTAAACCTATACCTACCATTGCTATAAATTTATAATAGTTATCAAACGATGACTTAACAAAATAAAAATAATTCAAAATATACTTCTTATTAAAAATTGCATGCTATGTCTTAAATCATATTCATTTTTATACAAGCTAATAAAATTTGTTGATTTAAATAACGACTTTATTGAACTATACAATTAAATAGTGTAAGACGTTTAATAAATTATGTGCTTGCAAAAATGACTGTTGAAATGTTGAATGTGTTTGATATCATGCAAATGTACTAATTACTATACTAAAGTATTTTTTTAAGACCGCCACCAAACATAATATATATATATTTTTTTATAAGTATCAATATGAAATGGGAGCGTGTTTTTATAAAAAATGGGTGCAAAGGTCAAATGGAAGAAGCCAAATCCAATATATAAGAGGCAGACAAATCAATAAATCTATGATGCGAGTTTAATTATTATATGGTGACATTAGTAGGTAGCCGAAATGTTTTTATTATCTATTGATAACTTTCGTTCTCTGTACTGTATATATAATTTATTAATACATAGGTAGTTTTGGTTAAAATAATCTTCTCGCATCTCCATTTTTATTTTTGTACACTTACTGTCTATGTATAAAAATAAAACTTTAAGTCAAACAAAAATACTAAAATGAGTTCGAGTGCATGCCAATCACAGCTATGGCTGAAGACTTTGTTAATAAAACTATCTATTATATTTTCTTTTATGTGAGAACGTTGTGGAAAAAATCATTTTTATATACACACATATATTTATATTCATAAGAGGTAGTTCAACTAAAATTAATTAAGGATATTCAGTAATTAAATTTTCGAGCTTTAGTCTTTATCACACACCATTTTATATTATTCGAAAACAGATTTGCATATAAATAAATCATTATTTTTGATTTTTTCTTTAAAATAAATTCTTTAAAACCATTTTTACAGCATTTTACTAAATTTAAAACTATTGTGTACTACATAATAATATTTTTAAGAAAACTTGTTTCACACTTAACTAAATCTAATTTCTTTGATATAAACGAAAGATAGGTATTTACAAACATATATAAAAAGTCGATTTTTTTTAACGAAAAATGATTTAAAAACATGTCTTAAAGAGTTGTATTTCATATTTTTTTTTTTGTCATATCATCCATCTAATATTGATAAAAAATAATAATAAAACTCATGATGCGTTCTATTATATATTTTTAGTTATTATTATTAATTAATATCGCAATACCTCTTTGGATATTTTAATTATTTCATTCTATCAAGTGCCACATAAAATTAGTTTTTTTAATTATAAAAATTAAGAGATTACCTAACTACATAGGTATTATAATAAAGTTTCCGGTGGCATCGAAATACGTTTTTACGCGATTTTTTATCGGCGTTGTATTATATTATTAAATTATACAATATAATTTGTACATCTCCGTCTGTGGTAAACATGATGTGATTAATACAATATTGGACACATCTTGCGCTTTTACCAGATCGTATTTCTATTACAGTCGAAATACAAACAATATTTTTTTTAAATAAAATATGGTTAACACCGCATTCAACTTCAAGATTGATACCCATAAAAAATAAATCATAATTTCTAGAAAAAAAAAAATATGTGAAATAAAATGCGTAATCCATTAAAAAAATTGTTCATCATACAATATTGTATGATAATAAAATTCACAAATATAATACAATAGAAGAATACTATAGTGTATTTCAAACACTTTTAGTTATCTTGACCATCAGATTTATATATGAAAGTTTTTAGATTAGCTAAATAAAATAAGAACATAACATCCAACAAAACATAATTAAAATAATACCCAAGTCACACAAAAATTAAACAACCATCTGTTAACCGATTATTAAATGATACGAGATGTGTCAAGGAATTATACATGCATTAGCATTTAGCAACTATAAATATTCAGAATATAAACAGCATGATTATTACGTTTCGATACATAGATAACAATTTAAAAACTATTTTAAAAAATCGATAAATTATCTAAATTATCTATGGGTTAATAAATACATAATATATACGTCAATTATAACTCATTTTTAAATTGCATAATTATCGCAAGATAAAAAAAAAGAATAGGACATTTTTTCGCCGACATTCTGTCCTAACGTCCTGCATTTGTTTGATTATCGTTCAATAATTAGCATTTGTGATGCCTAAATCATATGAATATTATAATTATGATTTTATAATATCGAGGGGTGAGTGCAAATCTATATGAGTACGGTAAATCAATTATCAATATATCATAATATAATTACGCATTATGCAAATTAAGTGCCTCATAAAATTAAAATTATAGTTTTATACACTATTTCTGATGATTTGTTAACATCAAATCAGTTTTAAAATCACTAATATTAACACTTTATATAATATACAATATATTCAATAATATCACATAATCAACTCATTGTTTATAACGATGTCATGATCGATTGTGCTGTCTACGTAATTGAAATATTTATGTTTTATAGTAATGTATTAAATAGGAATGTTGAAGGAGTCAGTAGATAAAATTTAAAAGTCACGATGGTTGGCTTACCTCAAGTACGCTGTTAAACATTTATAGAATTTTCGCCAAAATCATTTTAAATATTTATTAACGACTTGGGTAATTTAGGGTTAAGCGAAATACAAGTGAATGAAACAGCCCTAATGGCTCGAGAGAGAATTGTACATAGTTGCTTATAAGCCATTAACAAAACCTAGTTTCAAAATTAGTTAGCTCATAAGTCATTGACCATTGGATTAAAGTGTGTTTAAAAAAAAAAAAAAACATTTTCGAGTATTTAAATTACTTTTTTTGTTGACATTTCAAGTAATTACCAACAAAAACAAACATGTTCCAAAAATAATGGATTATATTATTTAGACTATATTATATCTATTTAATAATTTTTAAATATCGTAGTGGTTTAAATATATGAGAAATATTAGATATAATAAAATGATCAAAAGTTACAACTAATGAGAGTATTATTTATAAACGCTACTCGGTGTACTGTATTGGAAATTTACGTGAAAAATAAATAAATATATATATGTATTAATATAAAATAATTCATGGTTTATAGTTAAATTAAATAAGAATTTTTTTTTTAAATAAGTTTATTATTCAATAATGTAGCGCGTTTCATTAGCGGTATAATTATTACTAATATATTATACCTACAAATTATATACATTTTTTATTATGTGCACCGCCAATTTAGTAAGTTCATCGAGTCGCGTCATAATAATAACCTTGTGATTTTCAATATAATATAGCGTTTCATTACATAACCGATATTAGTTGCATTTTGAATTTTTTTTTTCTTATCAGCAATACATAATAAGTATATGCATTTTATATTTGATTTTCTAGATCCCGCGCGTATTGCTGTTGCTAGAGCTAAGACACCAACGTGAGCACAATAATACTTAGAAAAATGAGCGTCGACTGCGTTTACACCAGTGCAGTGACGTTACTGCTGTGTTGTTCAGCCGTCTTGGGACGGCCGTCATCCAATGGTGGAGCAGACGGTGGCGGTGGTGGTGGCAGTGGAGGTGGTACTGGCACTGCTGGTGGCGGTGGCGCAGGTGGCAACGGTAGTGGTGGGTCGGCGGTCGACGATACTGACGAGAGCCCTGTGGTGGTGACCAGTACCGGTATAGTGCAGGGGTACACGAAAATCATTGCGAACCGCGAGGTGCGGGTGTACACGGGCATACCGTTCGCCAAGCCACCAGTGGGTCAGCTCAGGTTCCGGCGCCCAGTGCCCATCGATCCCTGGTCAGGTGTGCTGAACGCCACCAGGTTGCCGAATACATGCTACCAAGAGCGGTACGAGTATTTCCCTGGGTTCGTTGGCGAAGAGATGTGGAACCCGAATACCAAGCTCTCGGAGGACTGTTTGTACTTGAACGTTTGGATACCGAGGAAACAACGCACCAGGCACCATTCGAATAACGCGCATCATGCCAAGGTGAGTCTCCTGCAGGGCACATGTACTCAAAACGTTATAACATATTCAGATGATCAGGGGTGAACACTCGCATAATAGTGGGCTGGGGGAGCTATTGTGATTAGTTATATTACTTCATAGTCTTAATGTTATAACTTCATTAGGTAACTATAATTAATTTATAAGTCAAAACTGATGTGTAGTGACATTCTACATGGAACGGTGTGATAAGTTCATGATATAATTATTGTATAAATTTAATCAATATATTTTGAAAATTCTATTGTTTAGAATAAATAATACACAAAATACATGTAAATAATGATGAAAAGTTTCAAATCCTTACAAGAAATATTTTTTAATTACAACAAAGTTACTAAAATCGTAATTTTTTCTTTTGTTTAAATAACAAAGTTTATCCTAATTTTAAATTCAAATAGTGTGTAAAAAAAAAAAAAAATTATGAATTTATTTATTTATTTATTTATTTTTGAGAGAGAGAGAGAGAGAGAGAGAGAGAGATTTGTACGATGAAATGTTCTCAGTTTCTATGATTAATTTTTTTTTTTTTTTAATTATAGCAAATAATAAAAATCGTTATTTTTACGTTTGAATATCTACTGTTATCATAATTTAAACTTCAAAGTTCATAAAAATAAATATTTTATATTTTATAAATATTTATAATTATTAAAACCTTGTCTTAAATTTTAAAATTTTAGAAATTTAAAATTGAAAATGTTATGAATTAATTAAAAATAAAAATAATCATAATATTTATCATACATATTTAATTGACAACTCAGAGTATATATTTAAATTAATAAATAAAAAATATCGTAACAATACCTTGAACAAACTAAGTTATAATATTGTTGAAATTTGTCAAAAATCGGAAAAATATGTTTTTGATTATACAATGTTTTTTTACTGAATTTTAAAAAAAAATTCTTTTTTTGCAATTTGCAATATAAATCAATGTATATTAAAAACCAAATATTTTAGTTTCAAATCAAAATTGGTTAATTATCATCGAGATTAAATAAAAAGTCTCACTAAACTTTTATATTTAAATTTGAGATTTTACCATGCAATTTCGACAAAAAAATAAATAAATAGTAATTCAATCAGAAAAAAATTTTAAATTTTTATATTATTCAGATATTAATAATAAGTAGCTAATAATTAGTTATTTTATTTCGACTTATTTATGATAAATAGTTTTTATCTTATTAACGAATTTTTAATATATCATTTTTTTGCAATGACAAAAAAGATAAATTTCTTTTAATCAAAATATTTATAAATAAATTATGTATGCTGTTATTATTTATTACTTACTTTATTAGTTCAATTAAAGTATAATTCAATTATTTTATATACATGATGTTATGATACAATAATTATTTACTTATTTTCATTACCTTTTACTGGCAAATAGCGACTCTAGTTTTTTTTTATTTCTATTAAATAATAAAACTTACAAAATAATACAGTAGTTATAATATTATCTTATACTAACTTACCATTAATAAAAATATTTTTAGTCGCAAGAAATCATTACTGTTTATCTAGGAAAGATCACATCACCCACCCTCGTCCCACCTGGATAATCCGTTTATTGGTACAAAGTCTATTTTTCTTATCAGAAACTACCAACGAAGTTAATACAATCAAAGCTTTTTAACTACTATAAAAAAACAACGTCAATGCTTTCATACACAAAAAAACATTACACCATTGTAAAACCTACACACTTATCGCTTAGATCAGAATAGATAAATAAGCGTTGTATTTAAATATTTAAATTTTCCATGCAAAGTTAACCTTTTTATTTTGACATTTAAATATCTTTAATAATAGGTTTTCACGTGGAGTATAGATAAACAAGATTTAAAAAAAAAAAATTGATTTACGATCTTGATTCTCCAAAGCATGCAATTTATTTGAGTTGAAAATTGACAAGATGTTATAAGGTATAGTTCTAATCATTACTGTTGCACGTTGAAAAAAAAATGATTTATTCCTGTGTGAAAAACTTTCAGTTTTTTAACTGTAATGGTGTGTAAAATACTACTAATTATTTCTAAAAACAACTTTATAAAATAGAACATATTTGCACTACACTGGCTATTATTTGTCGACTATATAAATCAGACAAATACAGAGAATATAATTATGCTAGTTTGCATAAACAGCCATTAAACATTAAATGAATCAATAGCAAGTTAATGGTCCCATAAACATATCTACCTCTAAGCTTTATATTCATTATTTTTTTTTTTTAATACAAAGTGATATGCATTTTGAAATAATACAACATATTATATTCTGCTCCATTGTTTATGAACTTTATGGCTTTGAAAATTCAAACAATACATCAACGTCAGATAATTTTAACTCATGGTAAAATAATAACTAAATAATAACTCCCATTATCGTGTTACATGAGCTTTTAATGTACAGATTTCTATAAAGATTAAGTAAAATGAATACCTAAAAATATTCCATGGCATTGTAACCCCAAGTTTAGGCTTAAAACAAAAACATATTTTTTTCTATTTCGCATTATAATACTTGCGTATTATAATAAATTGATAATTTAATTTAATACTTTAAAGAATACTTGACATACTAAAATTTTATAAAAATTAAATCCCAATATTATTATTACTTTTCCAAACATTTGTTTAATATTATAAATTTAACTACAGTTTTTCACTAAAATCATTAATTAATTTACCACTTATTGGTATTTATTTTGTCACATATTTTATTTACAAATTCGTTTGTATTCATGGTATAATGTAATTATTATTACTATCTAGTCACCGGCGTTAAAATCTTAAAAGTAAAAACGTTCAAGAGCCTTGTGCCTTTGCGTAAAATATAAATTTATAACCATATAATTTCGATTTTGTAGCACAAGTTATGGTTAGTAAAATGTGTTTGACAGCATCCCAAATTCATATTGTTTCATACGTTTTTTTACTTAATCGATTTGCTAAAATTATTGTATTTTATTTGTCTTTAAGATACCAGTACTAGTTTGGATATACGGTGGAGGTTATATGTCGGGTACTTCGACATTAGATATCTATGACGGCGATCTATTGGCAGCTACGTTCGACGTAATGATTGCTTCTATGCAGTATAGGCTCGGGGCATTTGGTTCGTTATACTTAACGCCCGAGCTCCCTGAGGATAGCGATGACGCGCCTGGCAATATGGGATTATGGGATCAAGCGCTGGCTATCAAGTGGATCAAAGAAAATGCAGCGGCTTTTGGAGCTGATCCAGAGACAATTACGTTGTTTGGAGAATCAGCAGGAGGTGGATCAGTAAGTTAACTATAATTGACGCACGCATGTACATTATTCATATATAAATAATATTAACCCAGAAGTAATCGCTTATTGGACTCACTATAAGACCACAGTATTCTAATTCATTATCCGAATGAGTTGATAATGCGAAAGGTCCAAAGATAAAATGTTATATAGTTATAGCTACTGGGTTATTTTAACCCATTTAACGTAAGACACTCGTAAATTGAAAATTACTAAAATTATTAATTTTAAATTAAACAACACTTCTTTAAAAATAATATATGTTTTACTAATTTTTAACGTTACTATGTTTTAAATATTTACTTCATTTAATGAAAAGATAAAATATTGGCCTATAGAATTTTAAATATTTATAATTGCGGTAAAATACATATTCAAAATTTGAGTTGTATACATTAAAATACTCCAAATAATATTCTGCTTAAAAATATTAAATTATAAATTTATTTTGTTATTAAAAAAAAAAAAAATTAAACTTAAAAAACAATAACGATATAAAATCTAAAAAATATTTATTTTTTCCAAATTTTTTTTTATAATGATTTACAATTATGTAAAATAAATTATTTTAAAAACATTTCTGAAATTTTAAGCGCCTTAAATTAATTGGATTGAGTTATAAAAATGTTAATCCCGAGGGGATACCTATACTATCATTATTAAAGCGCGGATTTTTATGCACTTAAAAGTATCGAAATATGGCATATAATAATATGCAGTAAAAATCATGAAAATATGCAGTCAAAATTATGAAAATATGCAAGAATTTTTTATTTATTTAAAATTTACAATAAAACTTATTATAATTAATTACTTAAATACTTAATAATAAACAATTTAGGGAATTTTCTAAACTTAATTTATTTTTAAAATTTTATTTATTATTAAAATTAATAATCATATGCATTTCAAATTTTTCTTCTATGAAGTTGTATCGTTTATCGATTAACATATTTTTAAAGACTGAGAACGAACGTTTGACGTCAACCGAAGTTATTGGGGCATATTTGAAGCAACTTAGTATTTTCGGATTTTGATAAAGATCTTCAAGATGAACGTTTTCGCCTAATAACACTGAATTAATTTTTCGTAAAATTTTCAGACCTTCATTTTTATTGGAAAGCTCGTTTAATTTTGTTGTAAGTGTTACACCTTTCAATCCAGGAATAGAATGCATTTTTTCTTTCGTTTCGTCAATTATTGAAAAGCTTAGATGTAAAGTCATATTTCGAGTTTCCAGACTTTTTTATGACTATTTTTTTCACTAAAAATGCCAAATGAATAGATATAAATTTTAAATCATTCTACTTGACAAAATATTATCCTATACATTTTTTTTAAATTTTCGCTTCAATATGCAATAAATTTTGAATTTTGCCAAAATATGCAAAATATACAATAACCTTCAAATATGCAGAAATATGCAAAAAAAAATTTCACCATTAGCTTCAAATTATGATAATTCGTGGAGATAACTGACAAAAATCCAAAAATATTAAAAGGAAAAAAATATGCAATTGCATAGAAATCCGCGCTCTAATCATTATAATATATATACATACAAGTTATGTTATTGTCTTAAAAATTTTTCTGAAAATATGATAATTTGCAATATTATTAGTGCATAGTATTTATTTATCCCCTTATAGCCTATTTCATTGAATAAATATTCCAGGAAGATTTATCATATGTAAACTTTTAATTTTTCAAACCTTTTTCGTAAAAACTGAAATAATGTGCTGAGGCTGTAAAGAAATACAATTTAATTAAACAACGATTCATTGGACACTGAATAATTTATTTAACTTTTAAGTTTTGAGTATAAGCTAATAATTGTTTTTAAAAAAAGACAAATTTTCGGTGTAATGATAATGTGTATACAGTAAATATTTTAATGTGAGTCACAAATTAAAGGTTAATAACTGTGTAATCTCTCTGTAATTTGTTATGATAAAATAAAAATTCTTGAATGGGACATTCCACTTAACTCTGGTGTAATAATTACAGTAAATAAAATTAATTTACTTTAAAGAAATAAATATATATTGCTCGTATACTATAGTTTTAAGACACATACAAAAACACCCATAAATAAAAATATTATAAACCCTCAGATTCGTCGGTATTATGAATAAATCGTAACGATGCCCTTCGATAATTTTCGTATAGGTGAGTGTGCACTTAATTTCGCCGGAGACAAGAGGCATGGTAAAACGTGGAATTATACAGTCTGGTACCGTGAACGCACCTTGGAGCTACATGACTGGTGAACGAGCAGTAGACATAGCAAAGAAGTTGTTGGACGATTGCAACTGTAATTCGTCGTCATTGTATAGCAACCCGATTGGCACCATGTCATGCATGCGATCTGTTGATGCAAGTACCATATCTAAAAAGCAATGGAACAGCTATTCCGGTATTTTGGGTTTCCCGTCTGCGCCTACCGTGGACGGAATTCTCCTTCCGGAACACCCACTGGACATGTTGGCTAAGGCGAATTTTTCGGACATCGATATACTTATTGGAAGCAATCTGAACGAAGGTAACGATTTTTATTTATTTAAACTCGTAGGCTTAAAGTTAAACAAAAGACGTTATATCGGTATTCAACTATTTAACATTGGTTTAATCATATATGATCTAGAACTCAAGCTCACGAATAATTATGTAGGTCCGTTATTAGAAAGTTATCCAAAAATAATAATAACTTTAAATAAATAAATTTTACGAATTTATTACCTATTTAATAGTGATTTAAATAGATCTTTTCAGCTCTTAATTATTTTAGGTTATAATGTTAAAATCTAAAACCAATAGGTTGTATCAACATAATTATATTAATCAATAATAATCATAGAGTACTATTTCATATTCATTATGTCAATCATACAATAATCATAAAATAGTTAGTACATTAATATTAATTATTGTAAATTTATCGAAAAAATAAATAATTCTATAAATAATTGTAATACTGTATCATAATAATATTATTTAAGTTTTACTATCATAACACATTCTCTTTTACTTAATCGAATTTGTTTCCCGGGAAACATACATTTGAATCAGAAAAAAAATACCTAAGTGATAAAGAGATATCAACAGTAAAAAGGTTCTGTCTTAGAGTTTTTTGATTTTTATAAAACATTTTTATTTCGTTAGGTTTTTCTTAAAATAAAATAAAATTTCAAAACTTAATACAAAATTATTATATTAATTTTTAGATTTGACAATCATTAAAAATCATTAAGAAAGTAAATATTATAGTTTGAATTTTTTTTTTTTACTGAAAAATTTGATATTTTGAGATAACTGTTGTATTAACTATATTGTGCATAACTCTGTTCTCACGTAATATAATATGTAGATTATAGATAGGTACATGCACGTCGCACTATAATATACGTGTATAAATATTTATACAACGAGGTATAATTTAGATTTTTATACTATAATTAGATATAAATTCGGCGTATAATTATAATTATATCATATACCGCCTCAGAAGTGAGTTTGTTATTTGACTATTTTTCATAATTGAAAAATATGGTTAATTTTGAACCCATCACGTTGTTATTGATGTAGTGACTTGAATCACAATCGCAGTGAAGATTAACAAATTTAAAATATTACATACATAAAATGAAATTAATATTCACATTCAATATTACAATGCCATGTTATCTAAAACGTCCATACCAACAAACGTGTAAAAAAAAATTATACTGGATAAAATTTGTTGAAGAAATTGTGTAAAAATAATATTCAAGCACAATAATAACATTTTTATTCGTGCGCTAAACTTTTTTTTTTAAGTTTTGTAAATTCAAAATTAGAATATAAAAATAAAAATTTATCTTTCTCAAATATTTTCTAAAGTTACATTCAAACATGACACAACAGCAACCTAGAATTGAAAATTCGGATTTGTTCTTCTTTAAAAGTTATTTTTAGTATTTCATATACCTACGTCGTATAAACTCAAGATGTCTCAAAGTTTTTGCCATACAAAAAAAAAATGAAAACGTTCCTTCAATAACTTCTGAAAGCTTTTTATATCGTATATTATCTTAAGTCAAACTGTTTCTCTGGTCAAGAAAAATTATATTAGTATACAACCAAAGTTAATTATTTATTTAATGCTTTTAATTGTATTATACTGTATACATTTGTATTAAATATAATGTGTAAGACCATATTAACAAATAAAATAAAATAAATTACGTAACAATTAATACAACCAAGCTAGGATAATATAACTTCAAATAGAAAATTAAACCTTGACAGTTATTTTTTTTTTTTAATAGTATGCAAGTCTAGATTATTTAAAATATAATGAACAGATTTTTCTCATAAATTTTAAAAATTTCAAAATATTTAAATAAGTGATTATTAAGATTTGACATTTTAAATAAAAAATATCTATAAAATCATATTTTGAGTGGCATATATAATTTTTCATTGCGATATAAAATTAATAAGAATAATAATAATAATAATAGTAATTCAAGTAAACCATATTACAAATATTACAAATATCAACCTAACAGCTGGCTATATATTCTTTCTTACATTATGTTTATTATAAATACTGTTATAGATGAACTTAAAGCTATGCATTTATGTCATCAATTATTATGCATTATATTTTTTATAGTTAACAATAAGTTGTTATGTGTTTTTCATATTCATATATTAAATTGGCGCCAATTCAAATCATAATTATTGTAATTTTTATAGATGGTAGAGCGTTAACTAATCAATACATCTAAAATAACAAAAAAATTAATTATCATCTATCGCATTCTACCAATACAGCATCATGAATAATTAATCCAACAGAATATTATTTGTAAAATATATCTATTATATTTTTATTGGTAGTTTTATTAGTAAATAGTGTTTTTATGATATTTTGAAGATCTGCTCAAAAAATCATATTTATTTTTTAATTATTTAACACAAAAATTTAGATTGTTATATTTGCTAATTTAATCAACCTATTAATTAACCCATAATTGTTATCTGACATAAAAATTGGATATTTAGCCAAATAAAAATAAAAATAATTTACCATAATATATTATAAACGTACTAAGTTAACTGTATAGACAGTTATACGCTAGACAATCTTAATTTAAAAAATAAAATAAAATACACAGAATAAAAGGAAAAAAAATATTCTACATGAAATAAAATTGGCGAATGATATAACCATTACTCGTATACGGAAAAAACGATTAAAATCGTAGTTTTTTGAAAATAGAAACTATACGCGGGTTGTTCCAGCGAGTCGATATCATACGTTGCGTGTCGTTAGGTGGTCGTACGAAAAACAGGGTCAAAAGTGTAATAAAATAAAGAAAAAAATAAAATTATGTGATATACGTATGCTTACGTTTTGTACAAATGTACCCGAGATAAATTTCTTATACGAATTCGCATTTGAAAAGTTTACAGTATAACTATAATAATTCTAATAATAACCAAAAGAACATTCGGAGTTGGAATTGAACTGCAGATGGACGGACGTACTTCCGTAACATTAATATGACTTAAAAATTTGATATTTTTTCACTTAATATAGCCTAGAATCCATATATCAAAACTGTATAGAATGTATAGATTCTTATGTAAATAATTTCAAACAAAATATCTTATGTACAATTTAAAGTCCATCATATTCTTTTTCCGTATGGAAATGTGCTTTATGTAGATATTACATATTTACAAGCAGTACATATCGAGACGAATTATTATTAATGCATTAATGCTCTTTTGCATTTAACAGACATTATTAAGTACATAAGTTATGGACTCATATTATACCTAACTAAGCTTTTTATCTGAATATTGCATTATTATAATCAAGTTGTTTTTCCATTTGGAATTATGAATAGAAAAAAACTTAAAAAATAGAAAAAATATTAACTTATCTGGTATTTAATAAATAAAAAAAAATACATTTTTTAAAATAAAAAAAAAAAATAACTCTTGCCAAAAAAATATATTATTAAGGCTATTGAAAACTACATTTATTTTAAAAAAATAAGAAAAAGTTATAATTTTGCTATGTGTTTATTTTTTACATTCAATATTATAAATGTATTTCTTCTACTTCAAAACCTAAAAAAATGTGTATAATATGATCTTATAAGTTAATTGATTTAGGTAATATGAAAATTATTTATCAATTTTTTATAAAAATTTTTGAATTTTGTTTTTATGAAGATATGTCTTACATTTATTACTTCTTCAACAATATAGGAAACTTATGCTATCTTAGAATAAATAAGTAAAAGTTTCACCTATATTTTTACTAAATAAATTAAAATAGGAACCGAAAGTAAATCTAGAACCATATTAAAAATTATTTTAAAATATAATTTAATTTTTTAATTATTATTTATAATAGTATGATATTATATAATTATAACCTTAATATAAATAAAAAATTATATTAAAAGCTCATTATATAATAACATAGAATAAAGCGATGAACGTATAGATTTTACAACTATTACTTATTTATATTATTTTAATAATCACATTTTGGAGCAGTAAAAATGCATTAATCATCAACTTTAAGAGTGGTTTCTGATAAAAAAAAAAAAAAATAGGTCTAAATAGTGTTAAAGGTGTCAGCAATAAAATATTCTCAGTACCTGATTTTCAAAACAATCAATAAATAAAAAAATAATATTTTTAACTTTACTATTAGTTTTGAAATTGTATTATAAGATTATTTATGTATTATTTATCCTTTACTGTTTAAAAATAAATTAATGTGGATAAATAAAAATTCTAAATATTAATTTATACGATATAAGAAATAACCTATAACGTTTAAAATATAACTTTTTTTATTTATATTATAAACTATGATTATTATATTAAATTTTTTCTGGTTTAACAAACCCCGTTATTACTATAACGTTTTCATTTTCTTCGCCATTTCACAGAATTTTTTTTTTTTGAGATTTGGAAAATTACATCAGAAATTTAGAAAAGATCTCTTCAAACACCAATAGATTTTAAATCAAACAATAGAAGATCAAATAAAACTTTTTGAGCATTTTTTTAGCTGAAAAAGTGTTGACAGAAAAAGTTAATGATACAAATAAAATCATATCATTATACCACTCTTCACTTCACTCCAATCTAAAAATCTGGAAAACTCTAATTGAATCTAGTGTAAAATAAAATCTTTCTCAAAATCTCTTGAATCAAGTTTAATATAATAATTCTCAGTTTTTATTTTAATATTTCTTTCAGATAGAAGAGTAAATTCTGTTTTTTTTTTTTTTGACATTAACTAATAATACCTACATCTTTTATTACTACCTTAATAACTTAAAATGTCTGTTCTTTTTATTTTGAATAATTATTTATTATAATTAATTATTATTATTAATCAAGTCTATAATATAACTATATAGTATTATCAGTTCCCTTGTATGAGAGTATGAATTTTTAAATGCATACTTCAGTACTTTAGAAATATATGTATGAAATTTATGAGTAACTACACAACTTGAGTTATTAATGCAGCTAAAACATACATTTTAATGATATATGCTCTTAAAGAATACGAATATAATATATTATTTAGTTTATTAATTATTTTAATTCAAATCTACTGTTGAAATGTTTCTCATTTTTATTAATTTAAGATTAAATTGAGGTTTATACGTTGTAGGTATAAAATACTGTGTGTGAAAAGGTTACTTGCGTTGTAATAATTTCAATTCAGAATTTTGGTTTGTAAACCGTAATCCTCATGCAGAATTAAAATATACTTATATATCATAATTGCCGATGTATTTTTGCTTTTAACATTAAACCAAAAACAAATAGACACCATCAACAGTTATGGTACTCGTATTTTATTTTTGTGTTATTTGCAGAAATAATCTCATGCAGCTACGACTTTATGTTTACAAATGTCAGTGATTGTGCTAATTGCTAAATATTAATTTCATATTCTATACAACATAGATTTCTCACTAAAACATAAGTACATTTTATCTCAAGTATTACACTTAGGTTATTTTTAATTTTAATATTTTTTTGCTAAATAATTGGTTTTTTTATTTTTAATTAAAACGCTGGTGATTGAGTAGAAATTAATTAATTACGTATTTTACTACTGCCGCGGCCCGACACCACGTCATTCGATACACAATAGATGTTATTGATTAAATAATGGAATTATCTGATTTTATCAAACCGTCACTAACATACGTTCAAATATGTTTCAAACTTAATTAAATTTAATTATAACTCCGCATAATTTCAAAGTTAATTCTATCGTTGTAGGATTATCATGACGCCGTGACGTGTCAGAATAAAAAAAGTATATAATATTGAACGCCACACGTTTTATACGATACTAAGGCCGCTTGTAGCCTATGCCCGCTGCAAATTGCTAAAATTCTTGGAAAATCGTATTATTTTTTGTCGAGAGATAAATCCGGAGGTGATTGTGTTCGGGAGGCCGGTAAAAGTATATTATAAAAATGCGTCATGACAACATCCATTTGCACGACCTATTTAATTTTTTTCTCACATATATTTTATCATACATATATAATACACTTACGTTTGTGTATGCGTCTTCGTTTTTTGTGTACACATTTTTCACATTTCTCTTTAAGGTCTGAAAAAAAGTAATCCTCATTTGTCATCAGTCCTCGACTTGTCACAAGTTCCCCCTCCCAATCACTTTTCCACCGTAGTTCGATATATTCGTGTTCATATACTGGCTAGGTTAGTTTAGGTGAAAATTCTTAAAAATCGCTATAAAAAAGTATATAAAGTAACATTTCTTTACATTATAATTTTTTTATATACTTTTCCGGTTATCCGTTAGTTGCTACTAATGTTTTTTAATCCAGTTAATACAGATCCGAGGAAATATGAATCAAATTGTATACAACTAATGTCTCCACTGGGCATTGACATGCTAAAATCATCAAAAACAAAGCAATTTGCACAACTTTTGTATTCTGAAAAAGAAAGCCCTCAAATATTTCACTAAATAATACACTGATTCCTCATTCAGACACTGTATAATACTTAGGGCTACAATTTTGTCAAAAGGCTAACTTGGGAAAAACACATAAACAAAATGACCAGATTATTTTTTGACCGAAGATTCGCTCTTCAACGTCTCATTATCCTAGACAAATCATCTAAACACAACCTAAAATCAAAAATATCTATATATAATTTACTCCTCAAATCAACCAAGAATTCTAACTATTAGAATATAGCTGTACATACTTACGATAAAAAAAAAAAAATGGATGAAATATACAACTAAAAATGTCACAATCGCTTAAACCCACAAAAAAATCTATTCCACCCCTTAGAAATCCTGCATGAAGTCTCAAACTCCAGTCGCTAAGTTAATATAGTACAACATAAAATATAAATGTTATAAAACCTGCAAAATGGTGTCACTGCAGGAAAGTTTCTTCAACATTAGCATGTATGCTTATTTTACCACTATAGACCGTATGTCTATATGAATAAAAATAAAATATAGAACTATTTGTATGAATCATAAAATATATTATATTTATATCTAATAATATACTTCAGCAGTTTTATAGCAGATCATTTCACACGAAAAGAAAACTTAATATTTCGTCCAATAATCTTAATTTTATTATTATTTTTTGGTGTAGATAGCATTACATTAAATACATAAGTCATCTGATTACGATGTATTATGCATGGATTGTAATATTTACTTTTGGTAGGCACCTATCTATTGTATGTTACTTATACGACTATTGGCCATTGACTGTATATGATATATTTAGCCAATACAATAGAATATGTGAGTAAAAAATAAAAAAAATAATAGTCAACATTCGGTTTTAGAGTTCTAGTGAGTTAAATAAAAAGAAAAACTTTTGAACGTTCTTTCGGTCAATAACTCAAGAACACTCAACGCTAAGAGTAGCGAAGCGTAAAAAATCTAGCATGACAAACAACTGAAAAAATCCCCTCTCTTCCTTGTAAATAGTTTTTTTTTTTTTTATCATAGATAATTCCATTAAAAAATAAGTGTGTATCTACACACGTTAGTTTATTTTTTCTTTCTAAAATCCGATTTAGTACAGCGCTAAATTATGATATTTAATAATATTTATGTTCATCACTATACAATGCGTATAACAAAATAGTAGATTTATTTATTTCAAAAACATGAAATTTTATACCTACATAATAATTCTGTTATATAATCATATAAGTAGTAGGTAGAGCTTATATCATGATTATATCGACTTAATATTATAACAGCAACATTTTATTAAATTTAATATTATACTTAAAATGTTTTTACCATTTCTTTTCCGATATAAATATTTTAACACAATCCTATATTGAAGTCTATTACTAATATTATGCATTATTTATAAAGCAATGAATTCTTTCATTTTTGAATTATTTATAATATTTAGAACTCCATTTACAACCTTATTTTTTACAGTACATATATGTATAATAATATAAAGTATTCGATTTTTAGCATAGTAAATAGTTTTACACTTTTTTGTTTTAAATATGAATATTTAATACCATTTTATTTATTATGCCATATTTTGCAGAAACTGTAAATTAAGTTTTTTCAATAATAAAAAAAAAAAAGTTTAATAGATTGTATTGCTTTTTAAATATTCACAATTTTGCAAATTTTTCTTATCTTAAAAATGTATATAGATAAACAATCCACGAAAATTAGGTGATAAGTGATAATTAATAAACCTATACCGACTACCACGTGTTTTCGGACACAATTATTAATGTTACGTACATAATACACTAACAAATAACAAATATACGTAATAAATTACAGAGACATATTAAAAAATTACTTTTTTTATTAATATAAGTAAATATTTTCGTTTAATTAAAAAAAAAAATATATATATGACATTATATGTATTTTAAATTTTAAATCGCCTTTTTATATTTTGAAGTTTATTATTCATATTTTGTCAGTCAATTTTTAACGCACTCAAATGCATACATATTCAATTTATTTAGTATAGGTATTTAATTCACAGCCCCAATAATGTTATATTACAAAAGTACCTACCAATATATGTATATATATATTATATATATATAGGTACCAGGTACATATAAACGTGTATACCATTACAAATATAAACATTATATCACATTTTATAGCACACAAACCCGACTTCTAATTATATTACAATATTACACGAATGTCGAACTTGAACACCCGTAATGTTGTTTTATTCATTTTTGCTTTTTTTTTTTTTTATTATTATTTATTGACGCATGGGAATGTTTTATACGAGCGCCTAAGTTATCGTTTCCACAATATCATGTTTTTATTGTGCACTAATGATCAAGAAGAGGGAACTTGTTATAACAATTTATTTAATGAGGGAGCTAGGCTCGACGAGGCGCAGGTCTCTCATCAACCTTGCACACAGTCATAATAAAATATTGATCATTCCCTTCTCCTCCTAGGAACTCAACCACCTTTCCCTCTTCACATTTTACCCTTTTACCCTTAACACCGGTGAATTTTGATAAGGTGTCAACTCACAATTAATATATTTTGTTGACCTAAATTATATTATTTATATTATTATAATAGATTAAATAAAAAATATACTATTTTTTTTCTCGTTTCCAGGAACATATTTTTTGCTGTACGATTTTGTCGATTTCTTCGACCGGACGTCGGCCACTGCTTTGCCCAGGGAAAAATTTGTGCAAATAGTCAACGTAATATTCAAAGATAGAACACAGTTGGAAAGAGATGCTATTATATATCAGGTAAAATGACAATTTTCCGTTTAATGTGTAAATGAAAATATTTATGAAAAAAAAATAAATATAAAGGTGAACTGTTATTCAGATACAGTCGTGTAAATATTCTATTACGAAATATAAAAAGAAAAAGTTACCTATTATTCATGTAAAAGCGTCATTATACGTGAACTATGAAAAACTTCAATTGTATGAGTATGCATAGTAACCGAAATGTAAATATTTTAAAACCAACATTATAAAGTGTTTCTTATTATAACGGACATTGAATATGCAAAAATAAATGAAAAAATGCAAATAAATTTTCCGGTAGAAAGCATGGTGATTGTGATTATAATTTATCATACATAGTGTAATATATAAAGCTTTCGAATAGAAACAATATGCGTGTATAAAACATAGAAATCACCCGGAAATAATAATTATTGACGACTTCGTGCAACCCGGCGCTGATAATAAGGTGCGCAAATAATGAAGAAGTACTATATTTTATTTCTATATCAAACGGATATTTTTAAACTTGTAGCAATAATTAATCATCGTGATTTGAATAGATAATTACGAATTAAAAATTTAAATCGCCTTTCTGATTCTGAGAATAATATTTTATTAACACTTGATTAATAAATCATGGTTTAAATTTTAACTCCTATTATTATTATTATTATTATTATTATTATTATCATTAACTTCTTATCGTCTTATTTTTATGTACGTCAACTGTCTTTTTTTATAGGTATTCACTATCTTACCTACTAATTTACCATAGTATAATATTATGCTATATTTAAGCTTAACTATTTACATTTCCAATAGAACGTATATAATAATAGTAAGTACTAAGTATTTATAGCTTTCAAAACCTAATTGTATACAAATCAACACGTGTATCATATAAATTAGGTAAATTAGTATTTAATAGTAGTTTTACAAGCACCCATTGTTAACACCGTAAAAAGTAATTAACAATTAGAGTTTGATAAATATTTTGTGAGAAATAAGTTCATTATTTCTTACATAACATCTTATGTCGGATTTTTTTTATTTCATTCATTTGGTTTAACGAATATTATATATTATATAATAATATATCCTCGTGACCTTAATATTAGTAATTTTCTGGACAAAATTTTCAGTGGGGCTCATTATATTTTTAGAGAAGAAATTAATAATAAAATATCTCTTGATTTCCGAGCATTAATAATGGACAACTTAAAATGGTAAGAAAGAAAATAAAGGATCGTCTCGATGTTACTCAGTAGTTAAATATTGTATGAAATATCTTAAAAATTACCTATATCCAAAGTAATACTACCGTCAACAATTTACTAATCAATTATCTATTGTATAAAAAATTCGTGAAAATATATCAAAAAACTACTTAAAATTATATTTAATTTCATAAAACATTATATAATATAATACAGTCATTGGAACAATATTGAATATTTTAGTATTCGGGATGGGAAAAAAAAGAAGTGGATGACATATATTCCAACCAAAAACAATTGAGCGACGTGGTTGCAGATTATTTTTTTGTTTGTCCAACCAACCTATTTGCCAACATCGTATCAAGTCGTGGAGCTCGGGTGTACTACTATTTCTTCACTCACGTAAGTACCTAGTTTTGAATTTTATTAATCAAAAAAAAAAAAATTATCTATTTTTTATATGTATTGATAGGAACCGGTTAGCATATTATATATATATATATATATATATATATATATATATATTTGTGGTCAGGGATAGAAGTATCTTATAGAATTGTGTATTCTGGCATTTGCTGATTGTAATAAATCCAAATAATATTATTATTAAATGCTTATAATAGTGTATATATATATAGGCCACCTAAGTATAGGAAAATTCATATCTAAATTCAGTAGAGAGGGTATGAATAAGTATTTAAAATGTTTAGCAATTTTACTACTATAATAATCGTTTATAAAATCTATTTTATTTTATATACAACCTTTATTGTATGATGTTTCTTTAAGGTATATAAAGATAAAAAAATAAATGAATCATGAATTGAATATCTATTCAATTTTAAACTTTTTATGCAAATGAAAAACATTTTTAAATGTATACTCTTGGTAGACGTTTAAGCCATAAGCCGTTGGGTTAATATTTTAGCCTTTTATTCACTCCTGCTTCAACATATACTGTGATTCAGTTTTATGAATTACCTATGTAATATATTATAACTGTAGCAGCCAATCGATTGTACATCAGATTATGCAAATTAGTGATTTTTTGATCACGCTTTGTTGCGATTTGTTTTACCGACTTAGTGTAGGTACCTAAACCTAATAAAAATTGTATGTACATGTCTATCGACCGAGTTCGCATGAATAATTTAAGATAATAAAACTCGTTGAAACATTGCAGAGAACAGACTCACACTTGTGGGGTGAATGGATGGGCGTGTTGCACGGTGACGAGATGCAATACGTGTTCGGCCATCCGTTGAACATGTCGATGCCATATAACGCCAGGGAAAGAGACTTGAGCATACGAATCATGGAGGCGTTCACCAGATTTTCGTTGACCGGGTAACATTTTTGCTATAATATTACATTGTATTAGACGTAGATATAAAACGGCGTACGTAATTAAACACCTACTCTTATTATTATATTACCTATATATAATCATAATAATTGCCACTACAAATACACATTTAACCAGAAAAGTCAGGTATGAGAGCTGATGTCTTATCGGAATACAGAGTTTAAGTATTATACAATGGTAACCTGTACAACTTTCGGTGAAACTTTAATAGTTGCTCCCCAAGACCACTTCTTTTTTGTATCAATGATTTTTTGCACGTCTTCATTTTTTATTATCACTGAAATTTATGCAATTTTATTTTTGTTATCGACTGCTGTTAACAAACATACAAAAAAAAATAATAATAATAATAAATAAATCCTTAAAAAGGACTAGACGCATCGCTAACATGCAAGAATATTACACATTATCTACAGTCTACACACAATGAATAGCCATACATAATATAATTGACGGTGGTCACGCGGGCTGCTGTTTTAAAAAGGGGTGATTATGTACTGTGTTACCTGCAGAACGATTGGCCGATAAGTGAAACTATTTAACTGAATACTGATAAATCAATCCAGACTATCTATGTAATTACTTCCGAGCGTACTTTTCAAATTTGGTTGTAGGTACTCGTACAGTTTTACAGTGAACATGCTTAATATATAATGGATATACCTATATTATGTATAATCTATTAATCTATATGCATATAGATTATATGTATGGATACGTCGTATATGCGTTCATGCGGATTTTAACCAAATAATAAGTTTCTACATATTTTTTAAAATTACGAATTTTGATATGTAGAACATACTGAACTCTATTTTTATTTTTTTACTTATTTGACTTATTTTTAACTTTTTCAAACGTTTTACTGTTACTATACTAGATGAATACATTTTTTATAGATACATCGATATACATGCACAAAAACTAAAAACTATATAATAACCTTTAAGTAACATGAATAATTCTTGTTCTGCAAAACTTAATGGTTAACAATAATATTATTACCATCTTCCGAGTTGATGAAGCTGGTATTAAGGTACTTATTACTTTCTGCAATGCACACTCTAAATATATATAAAACCTATTTCACTGGGGACATTATCTAAAAACTATTATACAACAATGTACATTATAAAAACTTGAAAAATAGTTAAGTGTTATAAAATAGTTAAAAATATATTTGCTGATATATATCTTGTAAGACTATAAATGAAATAGATTTTTAGAGCATTGCCACAGGAGATGATTAATTTCGCTGGTATTTGGAAATATAGCTAAAACCAATCATAATATTACATATACTGCTAGTCATACGTTGTATAAGTAATAACTTCCAATAAAATATATTTTATCGGTTTATATTAAAATAGTACAAATAAAGATTTTCATGATATGTATCTAACATAATAAAATATATAAAATATATATTGGTTACCAGCTGTATAATATACTTAGATTCGAGTCTTCGATCGTAAATTGTTAATTCACATTTCATATCATTATATGAGTTAAATAAGTGAAATTAACTAAAGAGTTAAATATTAAATCGTTTCGTCCTCAATCTAAATTTTCTTTTTTGACGATGAATCAAAATTATTTATTTAATGACATTATAAATTATAATGTTGCTGTTTTTAATTTAAAAAATAATTAATATTCAATAGTGTATCTCTTACCTATATACGTATGTACGTTGTACGTACATAATACATAATATAGTGCATAGACGCAGAAATAATATTTTCTATTTGTACATTTTTGCATTGTATTCTATGTTTATAAAACGTTATTTATGTGTATACTAACCATACAATCTAGTATCTACATTAATTAAATATGTTTTGATTAATGATTGGCCTTTGTTTACTGTATGCTTCTATATTACAGTCGACACTCAACTAGATATATTCTATCTTTCTGTATAATATACACAATATATATAATATATATATATATATATATATATAATATTATATAGGTATGCTTTTCTTCTTCTTGATAGTTATCAGTCTATTAGACTATACTGACTGACATATTATCCGCAATATCTCCCTATCGCTAACCAAGCCTCACTAAACTGTGTCTGGTTAGACAAACGTATCTATAGTACATATTTTATAATAATATTGTATTATCTTTTCCACAATATTATGTATATTTCATACACACGATATAAAATTTACCATACAATGCTAAAATAATTACTACAAATACATATATATATATAATATATATTATATTATATTTATATACTTCATATTGTACTAAATATCTATGCTGCTATACTGCTATTGTATATTTGTATGCTTATACATAATATGTATTTATATAATGTATTATACAAAGAAAATATTATTTATGTATGTATCAGTATTCAGGTTATTGCAGAATATAGTATTAGGTACTAAGTGAAAACAGTGTGATCACGATTTAAGATAACACTAAATATTTCGGCTGGATAATCTGGATTGATTCTGGGTATTTTTTTTTTTTTTTTTTACTGCGTAGAGAACTTATTAATACTTTCCATTTCAAAAAAAAAAAAAAAAATAAATCACTAACTTATTTCCTTACATGTATAAAAATTAAAAGAATCAATACAAATCATACCAAATCCACGGAGGTTTGGCAAATAAATAAATACATAATACGAATATTAATCAAGAAAATCATTGTATTTTCATAACAATTCATTTGAATAATAATTTGCATTATTTCTACAGAAATATAAAGTTCTATGTTACTCCGTGTAATTTTTGTGATTAAAAAAAAGGGGGTAAAATTCTAAAAAAAAATTATTGTATCATTTCAAATTTAGTACAAAAATAATTTTAATTATCAGTCCTGTATAGTTGTATGCATAAAAGAAACACGAATCAAAATCATTTTTTTCATTCAAAATATTTAGTACAACCTTGGATCATAATCACATTCTTTTACATTAATAAATAACAGCAATGCAAAATTTATTACGAGTATGTATTATTTTATCTAATATTGAATATTCATTAATCTTTCAGAACACCTGTATCAGATGACATAGAATGGCCACTATATAATGAATCAAAGCCGATTTATCATGTATGGAATGCTGCTGAAATGCACGTAGGTTATGGACCTAGAGCAGCTGAATGCCAGTTTTGGAACGGATTTTTCCCGAAAATCGGTAAGACTATATCAATAATTGATTTATTTGTTTTGAATAGAAAAAAAATATATATAATTACTAAAAATATTTTATGTAAACAAATTATTGATCAGTATAAATTACTATAAATACTAATAACTGATATTCATAATAATTTCTACGTATTAGTGATAAAATAGCTACTTTTATAATTAAGATTAATGACTTGTTTTTAATTTTTTTTAGTAAACATTATCAATTTAAATAAAAATGCAAGCTAAATAATACGTTAAATATGATAATACTGAATTATATGAATCTGACACTATATTAATTAATTATTTAAATTTGCAAGTATATTTAATAGAATAAATTTGCAAGAACTTTTTAAGAATTCTTTTGAAGTCTATTCTGCTAATTTTACTTAAACCATATTATACAAGTTAAATTTTTTCAGTCGTTTCAAATTATATCTAAAACAACTTGTTTTATTTGAATCTTAAACTTGAGTTATTATTCTTATAAATTATTTTTTTTTTTCTAATTCATTTAGATACATGCAAATAATGGGTAATGTTATTAAAATATATTTTAGAATTTTAACGGAAGAATGTGTATACTTATTAATTTTACAACAATATATATATCTGTGTACACGTTTTATAGCAGAAAAAATGCTTTGATCTTGAATTTCGATAGTGGTTTGTGGTTGCAAATTGGATCTAATTGGTACTTTTGATCAAATTTGAAAATAAAAGGTAAAATGGAAACTTTTACACAGAGGCATTTTTCGGACAAAATCAATTATATTTTTAAGTTAAGACTTATAATTATTAATAAAATTGTGATATCATTCTAATTGTCGGTCGTTGAAATATCTACTTGATAGTTAATGAAATCGTAAAATATTGTGTTAATATTTAAGAGTACTAAAGCAATGTATTATAATATTATGTATTTAATATTTGTTTAGCCCAAGCCTTAAAAGAAACTAGTAAAACTACTTGTGAAGATTATCCAGACTCCATGCCCACTACGAATGAAAATTGTACGCTTATGTCATCGTTTGCTACTATCAATCCTCAAATCTCTTTCACCGTAATATTTATCTTCGTTCTACCGGCACATGGATTGTTCTAAAGAAAAACAACAACTTAAACATACTAAAGTAAACCAAAAAAATAAATAAATAAAAATAAAATGAGAAGTTTAATAACATTTAACGGCCAATAAGCGTGCTCGTGACTCGGGACGTCGACACCAGCACGGTATATGCTGTAAATCAAAATTTACATATCAGAAACACGCATATCATTAAATACGTAGACAAAATCTAAATGGAATCTGAAACGTGATACAAGTGTTAGAATCAACGAGAATTCTCGAGTGTTAATTAGAGTATATAATAATAATATAAATAATAATAATAATAATAATAATAATAATAATATAAATAATAAAATTAATATAATAATCATTATAATCATAAAAATACTACAAATAACGATATAAAAAGCTTGTTGTCCGTTTCAAATAAATGCGCAAAGGACATTGTTTTCTTAACTGGGAAACCCAAGTATATTACCGTATATTATATATACATATAAGATATAAAATTATAATATAGGTATATATAATGTCTTCTAGTAAAATTCTCCGTATAAATGTATTATATATAATATAGGTAGTAGTAGTGTAATAATGTATCACAGCACGTTCTTTAAACTCAAGTCCATTTCGTCCAATTACACTGGGATCACAATATCAACATGCAGACAATCTTAGCTCTTTAATATTGATAATTAAATCAAATATAAGTAAACTTTTTAATATAGCTCAATTACATTTATATGTACGTGTGTAAAACGGCTTGAGAAAATGAATCTTTTTGTACAATCTAGATAGTATTATAATATCGTATCTTTTAACGGATCTAAAGATAGATTATTTATGATGATCGTTTTTTTCATATTTTTATACCTAAGAAAAAAAAGAAAATGAGAGAAAATCAAGAACTTTTTAGAAATGCTGTTATAACAATCGAAATTTAACATTATCGTTTTATTTATCAAAATCTATAATAATATAATAATAAATCAAAAACTATTGCCAAACGAGTACAAAACCAACGCATTCGTGGGTCAACATTAAACGGCTTTACGGATATATGTTGTAAATCAGTTTTTAATTGATCAGACGATGTTAGGGATGAGCTATAGAGATTTCATTTTTTAACGATATCAACGTGATTCATTGAACGTAAAAACTCATTATTTCAGAAAATATTAACGTTTTTAAAAATATATATTTTAATTAACTTTAAGCCATTACAAAACATTTTCCAAAACAAATTATATTTTTTACTTTTCTTTATTGTTATAATTTTTAAATTTTATACTTTTTTAAACGACAACTTGCATTTTTATTTTTACATACTAAAGCAAAATATTAGTTCGAAGTATTTAGATCTCCAAACGAATAGTTTATTAACTATAAGTATTTTAAGTTTAGTTAATCAAAGTAATGGATCAATATTTTGCGGTTTACCCCTGAACCATTCCACTCCAAACATAAAAACTTTAAATATTTATAACTCGTTTAAAATTCGGTTTTTATACATCGAAGTACTCCCAAAATTATTCTACGATGGAATAAAGAATTAAAAATGCATGTTATCATTAAAAATTTTAAAAATGTCAACGATGAAAAATAGTTTTTTTTTTTTTAATGTTAATAGTTTTTGAAATAATAAATGTTATACGTTAATGAATCACTCGGTTAAAATATATAATTATTATATAAACTATTTTAATACTTTTTGAGAGAACGGCTCACTCGTCTGTTTCATTTATCTTATAAAATAAGTAAATATATATTATTTTTTTTTTTTTTTGTAGACAATTAAGATTTCATCGTCATTGGTTATTGTTATAACAAAAAATAAGCTTTCAGCTTTGTTCTTTGTAATATTATCATAAACATACCACACTTAATTATTTAATAACTCAACAGTATACAAGCAGTTATATTTACTAATACGATAAGAGGAGCAATTGTTAAATGCGTTACAATTTAGTGTCAACAAAATAATTTCTTTCTTTTATACCCATCAATACTTATTTAATAATCGTATATTATTGTTAAAGAAGGTTCGAGACTGTATGAATATTTATATCATAAATTGTATACAATTAATAATTATGTACTTAGTGGTTCTAAAAGTAACATACTAATGGTTAGTCGTCTTTTAATGCTTAAAAATAAATTATTTTTAAATAATAGGTATAACGCTCCTCTTTTCACGCTAATAGGTACTAACTTAATCATATCATATTCACTGAGGTAAAACTTAGTCGCAGAACTAATTAGTATATATTTTAGTATATTCATTTTTGCTCATGCAACATATTATACTGTCGTTGGTTAAACAAAACACGTTTAAACATAAAATATATTTTTAAAGAACGCGCATTATATTTAAAATTAAAATAAAAAAACTATATTGTTAAGAATAAAAAAAAAAAAAATTAAAACTTATGGTTACCTATCTAGAAAATAAGTTGAATGTTTAGCTTTAAGAGATAGATTTAAGTAAAGTTATATAATGATGCCTAAATATTTATTTATAAACAATATTGCTAAACTATTGCTGCGCTCTAAATGGCCTACTGTAATTTTACAAAAGAAAATATTTATATCTGCCTGTCAATTCCGTAACATATTAGCGTTTACATAAATATATATTTATATTTATATACTTTTTTTTATACATAGTGGACGGGCTAATTTTATAAATATTGATTTTCTTATGCAGACTGCACACCCACTTAGGCACTATCTTGTAGCCGATAGTTAAGGCAAAACAAATCGTACGTGTATTTTATGTCAATTAACCAGACTGCGATTTTAGACGAATAATATATTTAAAAAAAAAATCCAAAAAAAAATCTATAATAATATAAAATATAATAATAACGACATATCAATAATTTATTAATAAGCATAATATTATGATATAATTTTAACGCTTAGAAAATAGAATGATTATTTTTGTTTTGCCACCTTCCATAACTACATTATAATGTCGCTCTAACGTATATTATATTTAATGAAGAAAGAATCAGTATACATTACGGTATTTAAAATCCTAAATTATTCTTAAGGTTATTATACCTAAATAAATATGATATGAATAGGATCATTACATATTGCATTGTAATAAACCTTGTAACGTCACGTCGTTTTAAACTTAGACATATTTTTGTACACAATATTATACAATTATTGAATTTATTTATATAGTAGTTAACTGTATAAGATTTAGTTATTATAACTGTGACCGACTTCATATTGTACATGATATAGATAATAATAATTTAATACTGTACGTCTGTACGCAAAGACATAACATAATCATATCTGTTTATTGATTTTACGTTGTACAAATTACGTATTTTCAATATTCTTCTTAGTATTATTATTATTGTTAAAAATAGTGTTTAAAATTACTAGCAAAGTGCAAACACATCAAACCTAGAATATAATAATATATCCGTACCTAATCTTTATCGTATTACATATCATATACGTATACGTATAATATATATATATAATAACCGTAACATATCAAAAACTATTACGCATGCATATCGTCGTTAATTTGAAATTTGTAGAATTATTCGTATTAATATTATTGTTATGATTTGTCTAACAGTTTTCGTACGACAAACGCGTACCTTCTGTGTAGATGCTGATACATCGTATTAAAATACTATATTAAACGCGTATGTGCTAACCACAGCTGTACAATTATATGATACACAAACGGTCAACTCTTGGTAACTCGAAAACGTTGAACTGGGGAGGAATTGGACGGATTTAAATAATTTCAATTCCATCAGAAATATGAAAATAGGTGCAGGTATGGCAGACGACCCCATGATTCCGCCAATACAGCCGTACAGGTAGTTCTAAAATACCCATCGATCATATCGCCTATCAATTTTTTTATTATTGTAATCGTGGTAAACTTAGCTTTATTAATTAATTTTAAAATAAATTTGACTATATACTTTTCAAGATATTATGCTAATGGATTAATATAATAAATTTTCATTTCTGAGTACACATTGCAGGCAACTAAGAATATCAAACAAAGGTTTAAATTTTAAATATTGTAAAAATAATTTCTCTTAAAAAAGTGTACACAAATAGACATAGTTTAATAGTATATTTTTAATATACATGTATGTACTAGCATTAAAAATGTCTTATTAATTAACTACAAAAAAGAAATCGGGTAGGTACCTACTTATAGATCACATTTAATTATTAAAATATTAATATAATGATGAATTTAATTTTATAAAATATAAAATATAAATAATATAACATAACATATTTTCTAACAATAATAATGATATTTTTGAATAATTTTTAGTTTAAGTAATACACTTTTACCATTAAAATGTTTATACTTAGTGTGTTGGTCAACACTTCAACAGTCAGTCTAAAAAGATTTGTAATTTTTTCGATAAAGTTTAAAATTCAACAACTTAAGTTGCTTTAAGATTATTGGTACTGTACTAGCGGAATAAATCCTACCTTTTTTCGTAAAAAAAAACCCCACCAAAGATCGATAAAATTTCTCAGATGGAATACTTATAAATATTGGCACCTATTATTATATTATCAATATCATCATAATTATTGAAGATGAATTTAATATCCATGACGTATCTGCGAAAAGAATTTCGTACCATCGAAGTTTTTGTTACCAAGAGTCGATTGCAGCGTATTATTATACATTATTACCCACCTATGTGTATGTGTACGTGTATTAATTAAATGTGTCAATCTATAATAAATCTATTATAAATGTGTATGTATATTGTATGTGTATCAATAAAACTACATAAAAAACAATTATACGTGAATATAATTTATGTTGAACGTCAAAGTATTTTGTTATTATTCTTTCCCTTTAAACATAATGACTTTAATTAGCCGCAATGGCACAGAATAGATATATTAGCTAATTAATAATATATCTAAGGAAGGAATTATTATGTTTTCTATTTAGACATTAGACACTTTAATGTTAAAATGTTTGATAAGAACTGCTTTAAAGAACTGTTTATAATCATCGAATTTTTTGTTAGACACTAAAATAGTCTTAATTTGGTCTTGATTTTTATTTATGCTTACATATATAAAGCACTCAAACAATGGTTCCCAAAACTTTATCTACTCCCAAAGCTCTTTCTCAAGTAATACCATGACTAATCATAAAAAATAGATAAAAATTAATTAATTGAATTTATTATAATTTTTATATTTTATACATTTTTTTTTATTATTATTATTGATTATTAGAACTCATAATTTTTTTTTATTGACATTAAATTAACGAAATGGACAATCCTTTACATCACTGCACTTTTTTAAATTTGGCAATCAAACTAGACGCAAATGCTCCTTTTCTGTTCCACACTAATTTTTGTTCAATACATTTTTATTTTTTTTTTTTTACCTAAATGACTGCTGAATACTCAGCTTATATACAGATAAGATACATTTTAATTTTTATTAACAGATTTATTAAATACGTTGAGCGTATTTTAAGGGGATGTTCATCATTATTGTACATAAAGCATACAAATTTCAACGCAGCACCGGATCTAGGGGGGGGCAATCCGGGGCACGTGCCCCGGATTCTAGTCATAAAGGGGCGCAAATTTCTAATTATGTAATAAGTAAAAAAAAAAAAAGGTTATTGGTATAAAAGGGCGCCAATTTCATATTTTGCCCCGAGTTAAAAAAATGTTAGATCCGGCACTGTTTCAACGTACTAAATGTCTAAATACTATAGAATAGAAAAAATAATGAAATAATTAGATATTAAGTACAAACTAATACCTTCAAAAACAAGGTTTAATATGTTATACAAATAGGAAATAGGACATCTCATTATGAAGCGTTAATAATTGTTAACATATAGACAAAATTGTTTGCAGAGAATATCAAAATAACTAATAACTTTTAAGTATTAATTTTCATAAAATGATGTATAGATATTTCTAAAATATAATAAACAAATTTAATTTATTTTACTCATGCCAAGAAAGTAAGTTTATAGTCTTGATGGATTTATTCAGTTACTTCAGATATTTCGACTGTACGCTTACGTTTTTTTTTTTTGTTTTTATTTAAACTTTATATTTACAATTAGTTTCAACAAAGGTACAGTATAAAAGTTACTTACGAGAAGAAAGAGAAATTAACATACATCCTTTCATCTATTATTTAGTATATCTTTATTATTTTACAAAATATAATTA